TATATATATATATATATATATATATATATTGATATGTCTAATTGGATCAACTCAACGGGCCTACAATTTATTTATTTATTGGGCCACGAGTCCAATTTAAAAGACAACTACTACGAAAGCCCAATTAAACTTCAAATAAGGTTTGTGCTCGACAAATTAACTTCAGTCCAATCAACAAGTATAAATAAATATTTAATTCATTTGTTAAAGGTTCTAATATTCCAGCAATTCAACTGCTCATATTCTCTCGATAACATCTACAATCTATACGCGTAATTTGAGCGTCGAAAAAGTTTCCGCCGGATCAACCTCCGACTTAGTTTACGTATATTCTGATCACATGTATTTCAGGATTATCTAGCTCGTGAGCCAGTGACTCCTCAGCTCACTCAACCTATCGCAACTAAATAGGTGATCTAATTCTAACATCATATATATATATATATATAATGAGTTTCTTTGATGAGGAAAAATAATTAAGATAAATCATAAAGCTATAGTACTATTTTAGGTGAAGAAATCTGTTTTCCCAATTTATTCTAACGAGAATTTTTAATATTCAACAACAACATTTAATATATTAGATGCATATGTCTAATACAATTATTGTGCCGTGAGCAAATGAACTTTTAATAGGCACCGCAAAATTAGTTATGTGTTCATATGGTTGTTGCCATATCCCATAATGTAATATCCGTGCATGTTATTATGATGTAACTGCTGCACAAACAACATATGTTCTACTCAACATTATTTAGTATTAGGACTTTGGCCAAAAAGATGTGTTTGTATGTGTGTGTGTTTTAAATTAAATTACAGCCACCCCTATTTAAGGTTTATTTACAAAAAAGACCCTCATTTTTTCGTATAGATTATATTTAGAAGCTCACTAAATAGGCTAGCTAGTAAGAATGGCATAGTCGATAAAATAAGAAATACCGAGCCAAATTGTAGTTTTAAATTATATTGGCAATATTTCTAAATCGAATTTGTCACACGTAATTTATGTCTAATGTGAATCTGTATATGTTGTGTTTTGCAAGTTATTGTGCAGTAGAACCTCGATAATTTAATAACTTCACTTAAATAATAATTTTTCTCGGTCCTGAATATGATTCAGTGTAAACGTACTAAATCATTAATTCGATAATTTAATATTTCATTAAATTTATAGAAGTTTGCTAGTATTTATTTATAGATGCTTAATTAACTGAATAAGGTGTAAAATACTAATTAGGCATACAATGAAGTGATGAACTCCTAAAACAACCAATAATTAGTCAATCAAAATTGAAATAATTGGTTGATGAATCAAAGCACATAATAGAAGCAGTTATGGCGAAATTGATGAGAGAGAAAGTGAAGAGTGACGTACCTGCAGAAACACGAGCGGCGTGAATCCGAAATCACGATCGAGGAGAGGCTGATGGTAAACCAACCGGCGGTGATAATCGCCGCCGTCGACACTCGCCAGCCACTCGGCAACAGTCTTCGCGCATTTCGCCTCCACAATCCGGACGCCGCTGTCGTTGCATTTGACGAACGGCCTTCCTCCGTCGCCGTCGTGGCGCCTGATTCTGCCGGAGATAGGGTAGTAGAGCTGCAGCCACTGAAACATGGCCCTCTTAAAATCCTCGATGCTCAAACCCTCCGCCGCATCTCCGCCGAAGAAATGGACGGTGGTTATGTGGTGGAGCTTCATGGCTAGGTCCGCGCCCGTTAGGTGGTGGATCTTATCCTCCGGAGTGATGCTCGCCGGCACCACCGTCGACAATTTTATGTCGCATATTAGGTTATCGGCGTTGATCTCGCTTGGCGGCACCATGGCGTAAATTCGGGGGCAATCAAATCAAATAATAAGAAAATTTTGGAGGCCTAGTGAAGAAATGACATCTCATATAATAAGTATGTATGCATATAACTCCTTAACATTGCATCTATATATATTGTTTTTTTCCGTAACAAAACAACACGCAGACAACTATATAGATGTATTTGTTAAACCTACACTCTCGTATAACAGTTTGCAAACCATACAAGAGTCGTAAACTAAAAATGTATAGGTTCATTGAAAATGGACCCAAATCTTAATCAAGCGTACAAATAATTCAACTTTACCCTAACAACATTAATGAAGTAATTAAAAGAAAACACAAATGGGTAAATTTGTCAAAATTAAACTCTTTTTCTGCAATATAAAGGCTATTTTAGTAATTTTGTTAATAAATGTACATTAAACCTAAACGATACTTAATATGAAACAGAGGAATATTAGAAATAAAAATAAATTTTGTATGTGATGAATATAGATAAGGAAACAAATATAAATGTAGAATTTTCCAATTAAAAAAATATATAAAAAAGAATTCATCGTAGCCACAAATAGTGCATTAATTCAATTTGAATGAATCACATCAAAATTTAATTGTGCTATTGTGATATATGCAGAGGACCACGCTAAAATTGGATCAATTATTTTTAAGTTGAAATGTTATATCAATTATTTGGTCTATTTTGCTGATGGTCCGTGGTTGATTAAATGCTTGCAATTTATTTTATTTTTGATTATTTATTTTCATATGACAATCTAATTTCCTTATGTTTTAAAATCAGTACATCAATTTTCTGATTATATTTTTTAAATATGGCCCAAAACGTAATTGGGCCAAAACTTAACTGGGCTCAAACAATTGCAATCCAATATTTTTTTTTCCTTTTTTCCAAGATTTTTTATATTCTTCCGATTTTTTAAATTCTGATTTTTTTTCGATTTTTTTAATCAGGAATATGAATTATTTATGAAATTAGCGTTTCAGATTTTCCGGAATTTTGAAAATAAAATTTTGAATATTAGTGCAATATTTTATTAATTAATTATTAAAGTTCAAAATAAACCAACATGCAGAAACTCTAAACTGTAAGGACTAAGATGCAATTTCTACAAACATGCTTAAATTATAAATCTTTCGCCGCCTTAAACTCTCCCAACACATCTGCAACAATTGTACCTTCGCTCCCACAACAATTGCTGCCATGGAAGTCACTGAAAAAGACGAAATAGAGATCACGTGTTCCGTCGACTCGAACACGTGTTCGGAAACTACGGTTGAAGACGGAATTAAGCTTCCATGCTCGGGAATTACGGTAATGTACTTTCCCCAATTATGAAATTTCGTAAGCTTTTCCTGATTTTTTAGGGTTTCCAAAAAAATTGGGAATAGAAATCGGAATCGGACTGTAGAAAATAACTGCCGAAACACACGTTGATTTTTTTTCTCCAAAATCGTACGATTTTTCGAGTCGGGTATATTTTGAGTTCATGTATTTCATACCGTATTAGTTTGAACCAACTAACACAATAATTGATATGATTTCTCCATTAAATTTGAATGCATATTGGATAAAAAAAAAATAATAATAATGTTCATTCAAACATGGATATGTGTACTTTTGTGAGTAATGGATGGCTGTGTTTGTTACCAGGACGAGTCTGTTTCTTCTTCTCCTGCTGCTGATGAAAAATATGGATCGTATATATTTTTAATTCCGAAAGAGTATGGTGTGACGCAACCGACGTATGAGGGCTATCTTCCTGCTGCTGCTGCTGATGAAAACTATCGACCATATATATTTTTCGTAATTCCGGAAGAGTATGGTGTGATGCCACCGACGTATAAGGCCTATCCTCCAGGGTGGATATGTGTAGATACAGGGTACAGGGCAATTCCTCCCGATTGGGATGCCGTACCTCCAATCGAAGGGACTCCCGTTGTTGATGTGGATGTGTCGGCTCCTCGCGTTGAGGTTCCTGTTAGTATGGTTTTTCCAAGGCCCAAAGTTATTATGCAAGATGAATCTATTCCATAGGGTTGGAACCGTATTCCAATATATTGGAAGATCCTTCAACCAGGTTGGCAAAGCTTTCCTCCGGATCAGGAGGTCGTGCCTCCCACATGGCGCAGTGTTCCTTGCGATTGGCAGGTCAAACCACCCCTGGCGGCCCCTACGCAGCAGGTCACTGTTAAAGACGAAATTAAGCATTTGGAATTTGTGGAGGTAAATAATTCTCTAATTTAATGAAATTTTGTAATCTTTTAATGAGTTTCTAGGGTTCCGAATTTTCCCAAGCTTTTGGTAAATCCCAAAATTTTTGGAATTGGAATTGCTTCCGGAAACACATAAGAATTATTTCTGAGATGGGACCCTCTGAATTTTTTGTCTATGCGCGTTGATATATTTTGAGTTTATATGTTTCTTGACGTACTCTAGTTTGTACTAAGTACTAAGTAACACAGATGATTTCCCCATAAAATATATGGTACATCTGATCAAGGGCATACTTGAGGTAGAAAAAAGTTATCTTCATTCAAAGATGCATACATGGTTATGTGTATTTTTGTATATAGGTGGATGATAATTATGATTTGTGATATCTTACTCACTGAGTAACGCAATGGGCTGGTTGGTTTGGTGTCAGGATGACTGTGTCTGTGGATGGTGATAAAAAAACGGGATTGTATATACGTATTATAATTCCAAAAGAGTATGGGATGATGCGACCGGGCTATAAAGCGTAGCTGATAAAAAAAGGGGATTGTATATACGTATTATAATTCCAAAAGAGTATGGGATGATGCGACCGGGCTATAAAGCGTATCCTCAAGGGTGGATAGGTGTGAAACTAGGGTATAGGGCAATCCCTCCTGATTGGATTGGTGTACCTCTGCAGGCAGCTTTTCTTTATGATGTACCGACTGATTGGAGCTTTTCTTTATGATGTACCGACTGATTGGATTGGTGTACCTCTGCAGGCAGCTTTTCTTTATGATGTACCGACTCCTCCTCATTTTGAGGTTCCTGTTAGTGCGGTCATTCATAAACCCCAAGTGGTTTTACCCGGTGAATCTATCCATCGGGGCTGGCACCCCATGCCACGGTCCCCTCCCTCCTTACCCCCTCCCTCCAAAATTCAAGGTTATTCCTATGTGGCAGTTGGTGAAGACTACACCGGATGATTACCGGATGATTTTCTGGTTTTATTTTTTAAGTGGGGGAAAGGAATAGAACATAAATTTTCAATTTTATCCAAGTCTTCAATTTATTTCAATTTATTTATACTTAAGTTCAGTTGAATTTTAATTATTTAAAAAAAATCATTCAAAGAGCATTTGAGACTTTTCATCTCAAAATAACCCCTACCATCCAGTGAAATCGAGGATTAATAGCTCATGTATTGTAACTAGAGTTTCCTCCTTTATCACAGCTACTTGCTGCATTGCAGGGTAGGGCTGCTAGCCTACAACCTCAACTACAAAAGGCTGCCTAAGATTTATTCGATTCGCCTTTTGTCCAATCCAGATGGCTACCTGGAGCATATGTAACTCGGGTTTTGTAACCAAACCTTTCTCTTTAACACAGTTAGTTGCTGCATGGCAGAGTCTCTTTAACAATGCTAGTTGCTGCATGGCAGAGTAGGGCTGCTGACGTAAAACCTCAACTGCATCAGGCTGCCTAACCGCGGCAAACCTTTCTCTTTAACACAGCTCTGCCTAACCGCTAATGTTGAGCAGCATGTTACGGATTTGCGGATTTGTTCCCTTAGAGGGTTTGTAGGAAAGTACTTTTATTGCTTAAGTGCTTGAATTCTTGTTGGATTTGTTGGACGATTACAAATGAGGACCCTACCCCTATTTATACTAAATCACCTCCTTAATGGACGGTGAAGATCTATTTGATCTAACGGTTAGGATTTGTTCACTAGAACATTCCAAAGAATCCTACAAAATATCTACAATGGGATTCTAGAATATTTTCTAGAATCCTCCAAGAATCTCTACTTTTCTATACATTTCGGTCAACTTGGGCCTAATCCTATTTGGGTTAAATTTTGTGCTTCCTTAACCTCCCAACTCTCCTTAATGGACGGTGGAGATTTATTTGATCTAACGGTTAGGATTTGTTCACTAGAACATTCCAAAGAATCCTACAAAATATCTACAATGGGATTCTAGAATATTTTCTAGAATCCTCCAAGAATCTCTACTTTTCTATACATTTCGGTCAACTTGGGCCTAATCATATTTGGGTTAAATTTTGTGCTTCCTTAACCTCCCAACTCAAGGGAAACTGGCAAAGGGTTGACCAAACTAGCGGGCCGTGACAAGCAGCACCGAGTTGCTCGCTCAACATCCAGACAAATTCAGAAATATTATAATTTTAAAAAATAACAAAAATACACTAATTCCATAAAATGAACAATACCTCAGCATTGTGTTGATTTACAGCAAGCCCTGGAAATGAAGCAGCACCTAATGCTTCTTCCTCATTTTTCCAATCTTCGGGAGAAGAAAAGTCCGGAAACTCAATGTCATAATCATTGATATCAAGATCACCAGGTTCTAAGCTTACATTTGACTCAGAATAACCCACGGTTTGAATTGCACTACCATTGCCAGCAATATTTTGTGTAAACAATAACTCCAATTTCAACGAGAAAACCATAACAAACAAAAAAAGAAAGAGAGACAATAGATTGTTTTCAGATAAATGAACTACTGCACCATCATTTTTTCTTGTACAAGGAAAACAACCTGACACATTTATACGAAAACCTAAATCGAGAGAGTAAGAGAGATAATGCAATAAATTAACTGTACCAAAGGAGTTCATAGTGAGATATTGCTGCTGCTTCTCAGGGGAAGCTGATTGACCAACATCTATGTTTTTTTTTTTGAGAAACAACAACATCTATGTTTACTTGGTCCTCGAACACAAATTTACGCAAGGGTGCATATGAATACTCTGTTGTTTGGATTGCACTACCACCGCCAACAATTTATGTAAACCAAAACACCATTTTTTACAAAAATCATAACAAACAAACTACAACTGAAACAATCAATTTATCCTTTATAAGGAAAACAACTAAAGGATTAATACTAAAACCTAGATCGAGAGAGTGAAAGAGATGATGCTATGTTTCAGCAAAAGTAGTTCCATTCAAACCAGTATCGACAAAACGACAACTAAAACCTAGATCGCGAGAGTGAGATAGATGGTGCTATGATTCAACAAAAGTAGTTCGATTAAAACCAGTACCATAACAAAAACATAATGTTACGTGGTAATTTGAGCAAAGAAACATAATTCAAGAATTAAGAAGGAATTGAGAGATATGAATTAGGAGGAGAATTAGAAGAAGAATTAGAGACGAGAATTAAGAGAAGACGAAGGGAAATTAATTAATTCTTAAACTTCATAATACTTCATATCACGTAACATTCTAATTACCCTATTTATAATACTCATAAATAATAATTAAACTACCATCCCACTAACAGCGTGTAGTACGTGCTCCTAATTTCCAAGTGCAAACTACTCTTGCAACTAACACATATTTTCATGCAATTAATTTAAAACTACCCACTAATCTCTAATTTGACTAATTCTTTCTACTAATTTAATAATTAAACGTATCACATAAATCGAGAGAGTGAAAGAGATGATGTTGTGTTTCAGCGAAAATAGTTCGATTAAAACCAGTACCATAACAAAAACCTAGATCACGAAAGTGAAATAGATGATGCAATGTTTTAGCAAAAAATCGGTCGATTAAACCATTACCAAAAATACCATAACTAAAATATAAATTGTGAGAATTAAAGGGATGATGTTGTGTTTCAGCAAAAATAGTTCGATTAAAACCAATACTAAAAAAACCATAACTAAAACCTATTGGAAATATTGAGGTGTTCAGCTCAAATGTGTGTTTAAATATTCAAATCCAATATGGGATGAATGAGGAATAAATGCACAAAGTAAGTACTTTAATAAGCTAAAGTGAGCTCAAAGGGCTTGGTGGGAGGTGAAAAATCACTTATCCCACATTACGAAAAGAGCATTAATGAGAACACTTTAAATAGTGTCAAATCGAGAGAGTGAAAGAGATGATGCAATGTTTCAGAAAAAATAGATCGATTAAAACCAGTGACGGAAAAAACCCTAACTAATCACAATACGAGAGGATTTTGTAGTGAGTATTAATGAGAAGAAATGTAAAAGACAGCTCACTTTTTGAAATTGAGCGCGAGAGTTACAATAGCAGTTTAGGCCACTTAAATAAGATCCGCGCCACGCCCCGACCCGTATCATTGACCCGCATCCGTATTGGGTTAGGCACCACTTAAAAAAAGAGTCACGCCCGATCCGACCCGAACCATTGATCCGACCCAAATTGAACACTGACTCGAACTGTACCGTACGACTGTCCCTAGCCACGTTGAACCATGAGCCCAACACGCATCCACCTCCGACCAGGCCGCATCGCACGGGGGACCCGGCCAGTACCGCACCATGGACCCGACTCGTCGTGGATCCTGACCCGTGTCATTGATCCGCCCCATGTTTGTAAACAGATCCAGCACGTTCAGATGAAACCGAAACATAAACATTCGAAAAGGACCAACAAGAAAAAGGCTAATTAAACTCAATAAGATGGCAAGTACAACTAAGAAAGAAAGTTCCTAAGAAGAAGATGGCAAGTACAACTAAGAAAGAAAGTTCCTAAGACGAAGATGAAATTAAGTGAACTAAGAGCAACTCCAATGGGAGAATCAAATAGAGTATTAAATGATAAAACTTTCATTTTGATTCCTAAAATCCAAAATTTCTTCTCCAACGGAAGCATCAAAGGGGTAGTTTTTTTGATACTTTATTTTCCAGAGGTGCAAAAATGCACCCAAAAAAACCAAGTATAAAATATTCCTAAAAATTAGGACTTGCAATTTCAACGTAAAAAGAATAAATTTTCTAACAAATTCCTATGAAATAGGGACCAAATATATCTATTAATTTATGTTTATTACATTTTTAAAAATAAAATATTTTATTTGATTCCTACGGGTTGGAGAACATAAGTTTTTTTCGAAATACCAAAGTATTATTTCAAGTATCAATTACGGATTTAGATGCCTTATTTTAATACCTACCATTGGAGTTGCTCCAAGGTTATGTTTAGTAAATATATATATATATATTGGGAGAAAGTAGGCCCAGCTATTCTTATGAAAAAAAACGGCCCAGCTATTACGAACCGGCCCATTTAATAATGTATTTGGTAGTAGGTAAAATAGTTCATCCCAAAATTGATTTTTATAATTTTTAAAATTGAAAAAAAAAATTATTTAAATTTCCGAAAATTCGAATTACAATATGTTCAAATTTTTTGGATCGAATTGGATTATTTTTTGATTCTTTTTTTCTTTATCCGATATTACTTTCTGTAAATCCTTAAATTCTAAGTTGTTTCTAAAAATTAAGTTTATATGTTTCTGAAAATTATAATATTGTTATTACGTATTTTATTATTATTATATTACATTGTGAATATAAAATTTTAAAATTCAATCATAATTTGCAAGAACAACAGGGGGAAAAACAAATAAATAAAAAACAACTGGGCCTTTTCATTAAAATCCTAAACGGGTCAAACTGTCACGGGCCAAAACGTAATCGGGCTGGACACGAAGAGCATTTTCATAGGCTTTTTGGGCTTCATCAATCAGCCCTTTCTTCTCATAACACTCCCCCAACAACCCGTACGCCTTCGCATTATCCCCTTTCAGCCTCACCGACTCCACCAGGTCTTCCACCGCCGCGCCTCCCCCTCCGTCGACCGCCGCCCGCAACTCCGCCCTCTTGAACAGCGCGTCGCCTCTCTCTTCGTCGCTCAGGGACTTCGCCGCCAGCGGCGACAGCGCCGCGTCAAGCGAATCGAGAGCCGACGTCTTGAACCCTAGCAGCTCCAGCGCGAGCGCCTTCAGTATGTGCGACGCGGCTTCCTTGGGATCGAGGGCGATGGCTTTGTCGGCTTCGGCGGCGGCTCGCTCGGCTAGGGATCGGAAGTCGGAGGAGGAGGATCTGGCCTGAGAGAGGAGCTGCGCGCCGATAACGAAGTGGCGCCTGGCTTGGAGATTGGATCGGCGCGTGAGGAGACGGAGCTTGGAGATTAGCTTTTGGGGCACCTCGTGGACGAATAGGAACATGAACAGCAACACCAGAAATATCGCCACCTGTAAAAGTATGTCGAACAACATCTTTCTTCTTCTTCTTCTCCGGTGGTTAATTCAGATTTGAGATTGTGAAATGAGAAAAAAGGGGATTTTGTAAAAAAAAATCTGCAAAATAGGGAATGGTGGCTTCACGCGCCTATTGTTTGGGTCGCCAGAGTAGAAGAAGGATGGGAAGCAGTTGAAAATATTACTCCACGAGGGTCAGCTGAGTCAACGCTTGCTTGGCTCAAATACGGCTCACCAAATTTGAACAATTCAATTTCTGTATTTTCATTTCTATCATTATTAGATGTAAAGGTAGTCAAAAACGAATGAAATGATTCTTTATTGATTCTTATGCTTGATAATTAAAGATAAATACATATTATATTTTCAATGAAGTTGTATATAAAATCAAACTATTTAGTAGTAATATTTCATTTGTATTTGATATTATTATAGGAGATAATTAGTTGGGTTATTTACTCTCGAGCGTAGATACTAAATAATACTACCACATACCAGAGATAATTAAAAAATAATTGTTTACTACATAAATCACAAATTGTTCATTAATCATACTATGAAAATAGGGAAAATGGTAGGCACGGCTACGGGTTGGATCGGTCTAGGTCGGACCCCACCCCCCTGTCTGGGTCCGACTTTAGGGGACCCGAAACCGACTCGTGGGGAGGCGGGTCCACCCGGGTCCGGGCCCAAACCGATTTTACAAAATTTTTTTTTTTGTTTTTTTTTTCCAAATAACTACAAGAAAATAAAAACTTAAATTGAAATTTGAAAAAACTTCAGATTAACTTTAAATTAAAAATTACAAAAAAAATGAATTTAAACACTAAACAATTTTAGAAAAAGAAAATGAAATGATTAAGACCTTGAGACATAAACTAAATAAAAAGAAAATTGTGAAGATGAATTAGGGGTATTTATAAGTGAAAACAATATGGGTTAAATACAAAAACACCCCCGTGCTATAGACTTTGTATCATTTATTCTCCTGTATAACACAAAAACAAAACCCCCCTCTCACTGCATTTTTTCCAAAATATGAGGAAAATATCCCCCCTCACACATATATATATATATATATATATATATATATATATATATATATATATATATATATATATATATATATATATATATATATATACAATTTGTAAGCAGAGCCATTTACAGTTGATAAAAGACTGTAATTCAAAGTAAAAAAAAATGCGGGTGTTCTTTCATGAAGAGTTGGGGCTTTATTTATATTAGAAATTTAATGAGTGGTAGGTTTACTACACTTAATGCAGGCACAGGTGAAATGATTAACATTCTCCTTGGAACATATGAAATTTTAATACAGATTCTCAGCTTATACGCAAAAATGGGGAAAATTTACTACACTTAATGCAGCCACAAGTGAAATGATGTAAAATGATTAACATTATCCTTGAAAATGTACAAAAGCAAGAAATTTAATACAGATTTTCAGCTTATACAAATAAATGGGAAACAATTACTACACTTAATGCAGGCACAAGTGAAATGATTAACATTCTCCTTGGAAACGTATAAAAGCAAGAAATTTATTACAAATCCTCAGCTTATACGCATAAATGGAGAAAATTTGTTGTTTCCCAACTACATTACATTAATTATGTATCAGTAAATAGAAAAATAAAATCAATTTGACATGATAAGTCTAATTTAATTTATAATAAACAACAATGCAATGAATATAGACTAAATCCATGTTGATCTCTCCTCAAATTAATACTACAAAATGGAGGGGCTGCAATTTCCAAAATCACATATAAACAAATGTGAAACAACATCCCTGAATAAATGAAAAACAAGGTTCTATTAGTTCGTGTTGGCACCAAATTTCCGTTAGTGAAGATTGAAGAAATCCGCCATATGTGGAAATTAAAGATTGGCAAAGATTTGTTTTCCATGTTTATTTTGGAATTAATTAGAGTCCTATTTTTGTAATATTGTTATTAGGACTTAGATTTATTTCCATGTATTGTATTCTAGTTAGGTATCTTTTGTATTTATCTAGAATAGAAGTAGAAATCGACTAGGATTCTATTACCTAGTTAATCGATTTCTTAGGGCTCAAGTTAGGTTAAGGGTGGTGGATTTCGTGCCTATATAAGGCCCTCAACCTCATATGAGTCCGACGGAACTTTACAAAGAAAAATCCCAGCATAAAGGCTTTGAAGGGTGCAGCCCGTGCTGCAGCCCTGTCTGCACGGCAGGTGTGGCAACAGAACAGGTTTCTTCTACCAGGCCATAAAGAAGATCGGCGTTTCGGGAGAAGTGCTTAAAAGATCTCGGGAGAGGTCGATCCGCCGTTTGAAGGAAGTTCAACATTGGAGGAAGTCCAAGAGTGCGGAGGAGGAATTGCTTTGATTATCAACAAGTTCGAGTCGTGTGCAAGAACGGCGTATCACATAAAGAGGGAGTCTTTAGTGTTTTATTAAGTCCTATTAATGTACACATAAATCTGAACTAGTTTTGCAAGTCCTCGTGGATGTAGGGTACGTTTGTATCCGAACCACATTAAATTGTTGTGTTCTTTATTCTGCTTTTCGTAGATTTATTACTGTGACAACACAACAATTCTGTTACGTCACCTAATGTCGTAACATGTAGTCTGTCTCAACAGATGAGTGGACTTTGATAGGCATTCAAATTCAACAGTTCGCATACTCACCACACCACCTATGACATAGTCATTATGATAAACATTAAGAACAACATAGCAATTATAGAAGTTCAAGTAAATAGCTTAATTGATTTTACTTTACTTTTATACAATAGTACCTGGCCTTGCAAGGTAGATATCTCTTGTTTGTATCCATTAATCTTTGCCAACAAACCAGATATTACCTCAATAGACGTCGGTTCGCGAGTGGAATCGTCACACCATTTGAAGAAGTTACAACGATATTCCTACGAAACCCAATTTCACCACAAAAAAATTAAACCCAGTATACTTGTTAATCTAAGATTAATGAAAAACGACTAATAAAAAAAATACAGGCACAACATATTTGAATTAAATAATTTCAATTATTAGTACTTGCCATTGTCGAGGAACAACAGTAAAAACGTCTTCTTGGATTTTTTTCCGTCCTCGAGGTTTTCGTTATTGTTTCCAAACCGCAATGACAACGGAAAATTGACCCATAATAATTTGGATTAGACGCCCTATTGTGATTCGAACTGCTACTTGCTCGATTGCGCACATTGTTTGAACTCAAACTCATCCTATCGAAAGATTTCATGAGCATTGTAATAAACTTCAGATTGACGAATGTAAAATGCATTATCCTATAGAAAAATAAATTTAATTTACCTAAAGAAATTCGCATCCAAGGTTTCTCTGTTGTAGGAAGTTCAAGGAAGAAAACCCTAGATCCAACTGATGTCGAATTGGGGGCGTCTTTTAGTTTGTTTTAGTTTATTAAATTTTATAACTCTTTTTAAGGGTGTTTTGGTATTTTTACCAAGCAATTTCAATAAACAAATTAAATATTAGGATTATAAACTAACCATCAATCACCCACACCAAACATTGCTTGGGTTTGAAAAGATTTGATACAATCCTTTGACTATTTATCAATCATTGTAATCCCATAACCCAAACCAAACGAGGTCATCGAGGACTAGGAGGGTACGATGACTAATATGTTAGTTCTCTAGGGGTATTTTGGATATAAAAGAATAGTTGAAGTGTTAAGTGCTAAACCCTAAAAAAAATAAACTCACTATTCGTAAAAAAATGAGTGTACTGAATTTTTTTAAAAAGACTACGAATAAATTTGAAATACTGGAAATGTAAATAAGATTTTTTTTATTTCGAATTTATAAAATATTGATTATGGAAATAATATATACACACGTGGTAATTGTTTAAATGAGTGTATAAATGTTAAATAGGAAATAACTTAATTACATACCAAAATAATAATTGACAACTCACCAATTGAAGAATCAACCTCATCAATTGAACTCCAACTAATTAAGCAATTATGATAAATGAAATTATTATTTGCCACATGTCAATCATTGAGAACATAAATTCTCTTTTTATATTATATATAGAGAAAAATTAGAGTCCAGTATTCATCAAATACTCGGTTAATAGTTTCAAGAACATACGACAAAATTTACATTGGCACTTACGGAAAATACTTCGGTTGGTTAATATTGTACGCTCCAACAAAGCAGGGAGAAACTGAGTTATCTACTAATTTGCCGAATCATATTTCATGAATTAACTTCCAACAACTAGTAAGTTCTGTAATAAGTCACTAATGCACATCAAACTACTCACAATTATTTATTAAAAAAACACCCCCTTCCCCAATCTTCTTATGCCTCCAAGAAACCAACAAAATTTGAAACCAAATGGTGTCACTCAGTGGCTAATTTCATGAAGAGTACAATATTTCACTCAAATGCACTAGGAAATATCAGTGTTTTAAATATCGGTTGTGGCGGTCGATATATATCGGTGGCAGACATAAACCTTTACGATATTTGTGTGTCGATTTTAAAATCGGTGTTTTGACGGTGAGGCGGTCTGTGGCAGTTTGTGGCGGGTCAAACCGATATATTGGGTCAAACTTCGAGCGATATATCGGAAAAATATTTTTTTTTTCTAATTATTTATTTATTTTTTATTTCAAGGAAAATAGAGTGTTTATGTTTATTAGTTTTTTATTTTTTTCAATCCCAACCCATTATCTCTTTCAATCAAACTCAAACTTATCGATCCCGCGGTAAGAAGAACCTGCCCTAAAAATAAAAACATTTAGAATGATGAGGAGAGAATCAAGTTCTAAATGTTAAACTTTTATTATGTGATTAGATTATATAAACAATGAGGAAAGAATAAGTTCAGTTTTTTTTATACGTTTTAAGTATTAACAAATAATATTTATAAATATATCACACTAAATTTAAAAAATGATTTATTTTCAATATATCTCCGATTAATCACTGCTGTACCAATTTATCGTGTGGCGGTCCCTAGCCGCTCGGACCCGATAACCGATATTTAGAATATTGGGAAACATATTCCTTATCTAAACAACTCAGTCCATAATGTACCGCCTTCGATATTTTTAATTTGGAATTAACTTGGAACTGAAGCAAAACATGCAAGCGACGAAATACATTAATTCTGGAACCAATGAACAATGCCGTTGACCAACGATCAACGACGCCAGCTCAATCAAGGGACAAAATTGGAAAATGAAAATTTTGTAGTTAAATTAGGTTTAACTCAGGAACCCCAAGTGTTTACAATGATTATGGGTAGGTTATGTGTTTGTTAGCAATAAGTTGGAGGGGTGGATTTACTGGTAGAAGAGATTTTGGGTTAAGGTTTTGCAAATAAGCTTGGGCTTATGATTCGGACTAATTTGGGCCTATAACAAAGGCCCGAGCCCAATTAAATGGAACCTAGAGGGTCAGGGCCGACTTGGGCCCAGAAGGGGGGCCCAAGTAAGGTTGAAGGAAGCCCAATATCGTAAAACCATAATAGACCACAAAGGGTAATTAACGAAGTATAAAACCTGCGAGATAGATTGTCGAGGTAATTCCACGCCTGACGGAGTGAGCGTTACGTCGGAATCTCGAAAGTCGTGCAGGGGACAATACTGGGAAGTAAAAGATGGGTGGCAGGCTTGAACTGACCGAAGATCAG